ATATGATTGAACTAAATTGTAGTGTACTGCAAAAGCTAAATTAGTTAACATTTTAGAGTAGCAACTTTTTGTTTTTACACCAGGATTTTAGTGAATGGCTAAAATACAGGTAAAGATGAGATTTATGTATGTATGTATCTTGCATCAACACGAAGTCTAGCAAGTAGAGTTTCATAGGCTGGATTCAATTTAGGAGAGCTTGGGAGGCAAAGGAATGCCTCAAAAGTAAGCCAATTATATGTTTTTATAAAAAAAAGATTCTTCTGTAATTGTACCACTGTAGCAGTGTTTGTTTTTGTGGGTGTATGTTTAAAACTCAAAAGTAGTAATTTTTACTCAATTTTAAATTTATTGAAGGACCCGCAGGTGTGTCGTTCTGGTGAGCAAGAACTGCAAGAGTAGCCTGTTAGTGGAACATGATGCTGTAAAGCACTTTTCGATTGCAGGCTGTATTTGCCAATGCTTTATTTTGTACTGCTTCTTTTTTTATTATGACTTTGTTTCTTATATGGAAATATTTCAGAATATTGGGTTTGTTAGTGTATCAAAAGTTTCTTAAAATCTCTTTATTGCAGTGTCAGATACGGTTTGGAGGAAGGAAAGAAATTGCTTCAGACTCTGATAGCAGGTAAAATAGTCTAAGAAACTATTAACATGCTTAGATTATGTATCATAATGACATAAAACATGGCACAAAATACTTGGCATGCTCAAAAAACCTCCAGTTCCTTTTGTTTACACAAACACTGACATGGGACTCTGAATTTTTCATCTTGTTACTGATTTGACAGCTTAACAAAGAGTGTTCTTCTGTCTGAAGTTACAAGTCTTTAAGTGGCTGCAGAGTTCATGACAAAGCATTGAATTCTGAGGTCTGAACGTGAGATTAGGAGAGCTTGTCTTCCCTAAAACCTCTTTTAAAATGCATGTGTATCTATTACCAATACACCTGTGTTTCATGATGCTTGATGCTTAACTGTCAAGTGTGTTTAACACGCAGTCATTAAGAAAATTTTCACTCTTATTTTTTCTTATTCCTGACATGTTTTAAACCTGTTTTTTTTCCTGTACGAGAAGTTGTTCATTTTTATTAACATTGGAAAGCCAACGTAACAATTCATTGCTGCTGATAGGGGTGCGAGGGTTCATGTCTGTCCTCACCGTCCCTGACTTCTATTCCCTTCCACCACCTTTTTAAGCAGTGCTTGGTGATCATCCAAGCCCCTCTGAATTAGTTTAATAAAAGAAAAAATAATGCAAAAGGATAAGTTTCTGGTTTTATTAGTGCCTAAATTTTCCTGTAAAATGCTGCAGTTTTCTTGCTCTGATTCTCAGTGCACATGGATTTTTAATAATATGAGGTCTTTCACAGAACCTAGTTTCTGTTCTGCTTTTTCTGAATTGAAAAAGTCAAGTTTTTTTCCCCCCTAGGGGGGTCATGTATCTGCTGGAATTTCCGTTTTTAACAGCAGCAGTCTTGTGGAGCAGTTGTGATTAATTTTTGCCAACAATCATATTGAGTATTGTTTTAATTATATTCTGCTTTATTAGTAAAGCTTTCCTAACATAGATGTACTGGAAAGTGTTACATGTTAAAAGCTCTTCTGTCCAGGGTGGTTATGATAAATATACCTCTTTTTCTGTCAGTACTCCTTCTGAGATCTTGTGCTTTTTTGTGACCCTGAGTAGGACTCTGTACTTCTGGAATGCCGGGGCAGAGTTATGAGCCACTTTGTCAACTGTTTGGGTTTTTTTTTTTTATTTACTTGAACTTAATTAAATTAGCTTTGGCAGCCAGGTGACAACTTTCTTAAAGCTTAAGTTTTAAGTATTGTTTATTTAATGGCAAAAATAAAACTTAGAGAAAATAAGATTTCAAACAAACAGATGGCATTCATGTCTGTTACACCTCAAGCCTTATTATTCCCTGTCAGTTACAATAATATTCATTTCTTTAGCAGACTGAATTTTAAAACTTTGCTGGTTTTGCAGTGGTTCTACCTGTGTGAAAATTGTATTAACTGGGTTATGTTTAAAAAAAACCCAGGAAATTTATAAATAGTATTGTAGAGAACAACATCAAAACCTGAAGATTCAGTGCATCTCAAGAAAAATCTTTCTTGTTTTCCTATGCCTAGGATATCTGAAGGACATTAAAATGTATGTTTAATTGTTTTCCTAGGCTTGAATTACAGTGTACTAATGCAAATTAACAAAATTGTCTATTAATTGTATAGGAAGTTATAGCACATTTTCAGAAAATCATTAATTGCATGTGTAGTACAAGGTATATTACGGAAATGTAATTGCATTACATGAAAAGTAAGTAATCTGAAGCTGACATAAGACTGACAACCACTGTAGCAGGTGAGGGTGATTTCTCAAATCAATTGCCAGTTCTTCTGAATGTAATTTGTGCCCCAGCTTTGGATAGTCATGATGAGGCTGTGGGCACAAGTAGGTGATACTGTTTGCAAATAATAAGATCAGTGCATACAAGGGGTCTCTCACTACATGTAAGATAATGGTTCACCTTTACAATCTCTATTCAGAGATGCAGAATAAATCTGCTCTATAGAAACGTAGTTGATTGTTCTTTTCACATGATTTCTTTAAAAATTCTGTTGCAGAGTCACTTGTTTGTGTGCTCAGTTTGAAGCTGTGTTACAGCATGGTCTGAGGAGGAGCCGAGGGTTAGCACTAACAGCAGCAGCGATCAAACAGGCAGCAGGTTTCTCCAGTAAAACCGAAACAGGTAATTCATTAATCGTATCTATTCTGTTTTAAAGAGTTGGTAAGTGCAAGTAATACAATTTCTAACGGAAGTTTTAAGCAGTGCACCAAACTGCAGACGGTTGGTAGCGTACTTAATACTTAGGCTGTCATAAAGCAGTGAAAATGGTTATTGCTTTCTCAATCTAGTTTAACTTTCATCCCAAGTTTCTCTAGAAATTTTGGTGTTTGGAAATCTGCACTTCCTACAGTTCCATCGTGAATAGTATCATTGGCAAATTTCTTTTGACTTCTGGTAGGGATAAATATTTTGTAGTTGTGCTGTTAAGTTTTTACAACAATATTCTCATTCTTAACCTTATCTTACTCTGTTGTTTAACTGCCATATTCTATAGCATCATATATGTTTAACTTCTAAGTATTGATGTCATTTTAAACACAAAACTTACATTACTTATATTGGTTGGGTTGGGTTTTATTACTTTCTCCACATTTAAGGAAACAATTCCTTTATTTTTGTTGCCTTCTTATCACCTTGAAGTTTCCCTTGTGTTTTTAGTAAAAGTATTTGAAGGTGTTAATCTTCCTCAGTTTTCTTGTGAAGTTTGATATACAGTATCCCTTTCCTTGAACAGGGTACACATAATATAAAGGAGTTTCTTTTTTGGCTTTTGAAACTCTATCAAGTGTGACATGTAACACACATAGCGGGATTTTGGTTTTTTCTTAATATAGTCAGTGGTCCTGGAATTGTTAATACCTTTTGATCTCCAGCCATAACTACCAGCTACACCAAACAACTGCATATAATGGATATTACATAAACACAAAATGCATAGTTTGATATAATGGTGTTTTTAAATGGCTGTAACAATGGACTTGTTTCCTGTGGATGATAGGGTGAAATGCTGGGTCTTGTGTGCTGACTTGCCTGCTTCTGGGTTAGAGCCCCCCAGACTTAGCTTTTTTGGGGAGCTAAAATAGCTATGCTTTTAGAGGCAGTGGTGAGTTTCCCATGTTTGCCTCTTTTACTTAGCAATGGGCAAGACTCGACGCTGCGCACTCTAAATGATCCCCCTGGCTTGCAATTGAGAGTCTTATGCTTTGGTGCAGAGAACACTCTCCCTTGTTACTTGCTGATTTATGCAAATAGTGTATCTTTAAATTTGAAGACATTACATATAATTCTTATGATTTCTCTCTTGTCTGTTAGTAATGTCAAGGTTGTATGAAATTTTTGGTCCTGTCTTTTAGTGGTCAGATGTACAAAGGTGCATCTCATGATTGGGAACTTAGTAACAGTTTAGCTATTTGTCTCATTTGGGGGCTTGTCAGGGAGATGATGTGGAGGAAGAGGAGAAAGTTGGGAAAGTTATTTCTGGTTGGGGAATGGAAGAAGGAAGGAAAACTAATTTTTATTCTTTAAGAAGCTTAAGCAGTGTATGCAGGTTCAAGAACAAAACCGTGGCTGCTTTGCAGCACATTGAATGCTACACAATGACTAAGAGGAGAAGCTTTTTTTTTTTTCATGGAAATTACTGGGTTCCACTGCATTTATCTTTGTGAATTACAGTGTTGGGTTTTTTTTCTTCTGAAAGCAGTTGCAAAGTACGTCTATATTTTTATCGCTTTCAGGCAAATGAGTCTAGTATGATTTATATTCCATTCTGTCTAACATAATCACAGGTGTCATCTTTGTCTTTGACATAGTGGAATACTGCTGTTTAGGCTCTACATTTGGGCTTTGACAATTGAAGAATAAAGTTGTTCAGCAGTGGTTTTTATTTGAAATTTACAGGTACTTCATGACAAACTGTACTTTCAAATAGCTGTAAACAATATAGCATCATTTTGCATGTAAGAGCTTCAGTGTTTTACTTTGTTTTTCTTAAATGTAAGTAGAAGTTTTAAATAAAAGCTCCAGTAGTAGTTCTTTGGAACTACAACTTAAAAATCCTATTTAAAATATTTGAATTTTTTAATATATATTCAAGTAAACAAATTCCTAACACCAGTGTGATTTGGTATCAATTGATGGCATGATCATTACAGGCATATGTAGCTCCTTTAATCTTGTATTAAGCAATCTAAACAAAACCAGCAAACAATAGAACTGTATTATGTCTTTAGTTTGTGACAATACGAGGGTCTCTTCATTTAACTCCAGTTAAGGTTATGTAAGAATATGGTAGCTGATGCGGTATTCACTAAAAATTCTTAGGATGATGTCGAAAGTTTGTAAATAGATCAGTCTTCCATGGCCTCTGGCTGGTCTCCCTCCAGTTTTACTAGAGGTTCCAGACTTGCTGAAACCTATCTCTCAGTAAGAGCTGGAATAGTTCATAGCAGTGCTTCTTGTGCACTCCGTCAGAGGCTCATAGGCTAATTCAAGTTGGAAGGCTCCTCAGGAGGTCTGCTGTCCTGCAGAGTTCATCTAGGGGTGTCAGGGTTTAACCCTGGCTGGGAGCTGAGCACTGGGCTGCCCCTCGCTCACCCCTTACCCCAGTGGGGTAGGCAGGGGAATGGAAAAAAACCTCGTGGGTGGAGATAAAGATGGTTGAATAGGATAACAAAGGAAGATAATAATAATAATAGTAAAACCAATATTTAAAACAAGTGATGCGCAATGCAATTGCTCACCACCTGCGAAAGGAAAAAAACCAAACCAATGCCCAGTCTGTTTCCGAGCAGTGATCCCACCTCCTGGCTGGGTTCCCCAGCTCCATGTGGACCATGACGTGACATGGCAGGGAACATCCCTTGGGCCAGCCTGGGTCAGCTCTCCTGGCTCTGCTCTCCCGGCTGCTTCTGCGCCTGGCAGGGCCTGGGAAGCTGAAAAGGCCTTGGCTTTGAGGAAACTTACCTGTCTTGAAACATCTGCTTTATGCTGCCTACATTGAGATTATGATCAAAAGCCAGCATAATATTTGGGGTGATAGTGCACCATTCACTTATACAATAGAATTATTTTCCCTTTTTTTTATTAAGTTAAAAAAAATGTTGAGCAAAGACATTGATTAAACTGTCAAAAGGAGTACCTGCTTGTCTTCCTTGAGAGACTGATGTGTTTTAAATTTGTTTGTAACGCTTTTTTTTCCCCTAAAAATACCCTATCTGCCTTAAATTCAATCTCTTGATATATTGCTAATTGTATAGATTAACAGCTTTCAAACTGTTCTAGTTATTCAAGCAATTCTATTTATAACAAATCGAACCCATGTGAACATTATTGTTGTTATATTTTAAGATACTTTCAAGCAGTATGTATTTGATGCAACATTAATGGCTCATGATTGCCAGTCTATACCATATAGTAATGATTTAAGTCTTACAGATGAATTCTCTGATGTTTGGTTGTTCTTTTCCTCCTGAGAAAATGGTAAGAGGTGAATTGTAATAAGTATGTCCTTAAAATATGTTCTTATTCGGTTAAGAAACAGGAATATGTAAAATACTAGGTGGTTTAGTGTACATTTGCAATTACTGATGTAGATTTTTGTTACCTCCAATTGAGAAATTTCAGGCAACTGCAAAAAAAAGTTTTATCAATATTTGGGGACAGAGTCATTTTAAATGTAATGCCTTTGTTTTTTAAAGTAACATGAATTTGTCATTTGCATGTCTGCATTCCTTTGGACCTAGCTTCTAACATTTCACAATCAGCAGTAAGGTAGAGTTCTAAAGAACTTTTTTCCTTTGCATAATACATTCCCAGCCAAACATGTGAACTTGTTCTGTGGATGAAATACTAGCTTAAATGTGCTTTTAAATGTGAATTCTATATAAAAATGTAAGATCGAATTCTTTAATATGTGTGTTTGGCTTTTTCAATGAAGTGAAAAGTTCTCAGTGCTTAAATAGCCCAAGTTCTGTAGAAATAAATAACCTATTTAACTGGAGAGTTACACCAAGATGGTAAATGATTCACCTTTTGTTCAAAGTTACTTACCATTACCTCCATGTTTTATAAAATTGCACATAAACGCATTCAGATATGAGCTTAGTGTTTTTGGTGGTGTTTTGTTTTGTTTTTTATTTTATTCCAGAGCCAGTGTTTTGGTACTATGTGAAAGAAGTTCTGAATAAACATGAATTGCAGCGCTTTTACTCTCTGAAGACAATTACTACAGATATTGGTAGAGGCCGGGCTTGGTTGCGCTGTGCATTAAATGAGCATTCCTTGGAAAGATATGTTCATATGCTGCTTGCAGATAAGAACCGACTCAGGTACATATTTGCTATCTTTGTAATGCAGGAAATGTATTGACGAATGAAGTACTGCAATTAGAAAAACAACCAACAACCAAACAGCATCACTGTAGTAATACATCATATTAATTGCTAGCCTGTGAAGCCACTTAACCTCATGCTTTCGGTTTGTTGTGTTTGACATTTTGGCAGCCATTAAGATAGTGGCTTGTGCCTATATCAACATGTGCCCTGAAACTGGCTTAATTCTGGCATGTGTGAATATATGCTTCTATCCTCACCTTCATTTCCATCCTCTTTCCTAACTCCCTTCCCTATTCTTTCAACAGTTTTCCCCACTGAGACCTTGACACGAGGTGCCCCTCTCATTCCATTACAATAGTACAGGATTGCAGCCTTGATCTTATCAATTCAGCAGTGGTAATTTCCTGTTGCCTTTTGGAGATGCTCATCCTGTAATTGAAAAGCTCCAGCAGTCAAGCAATAGGTAGCTACATCTGCAGATCACTTGGGAGTGGTTTTGTACCAGTTTGTAAACCTTCTTGTTACAGAGTTACTGAGAATAACTTATAGTATATATTAATAATATACATTGAGAAATCCTAAGGTACTTTGGATGCAAAATGCACTTAAGTTCATACTTAACTGAGTCCTTCCTTTTTCCTCATACATCTTCAGCTCCTTGTCTCTCTGATAATTTGGGATATTTTCCTTTTTTATCAGTAACTGTTGAACCTGATTAAATTGTTTAATATAGGTTGAGGGTTTTCTTGCTATCTGTTTTTATGTTTAGTGAACTGAACGCTGATAGCAAAACCACAGCATCCTGCTACTAAAAAGAACCAAGTTTAGAACAACTAAATTCATGTGTTCACAGTGAAATTCATGTTAACTTTTTTTTTCCTTACTTCCAAATTCCTAATTGACTCTTAACTGTTTAGGGTAGTTGATGTGGTGTTGGATATTGAAACAGGTCATTGACTCATAGAATAATAGAATGATTTGGGCTAGAAGGGACTTTTAAAGATTGTCTAGTCCAATCCCCTGCCATAGGCAGGAACATCTTTCACCAGATCGGGTTGCTCAAGATGAAGTGGTTTGTATTCATGCATTGTAATGTTTTATAAAATGGCTTGGTAATTATGGTCAACTGTAGTTGTTTAAAAACGTATATATTCAGTGCAGAAATAGGTGTAGAAAAATATTGTGCCTGCTAATGTAGTATGAACCTCCTTGCCCTGAGTGGCTTTTTTCCCATTAAAAAAATGCAGAGCTAAAACTGAAGGTAAAATACTATTTAATGTGTCTTTGATAACTGTTCAGACAGTGCTATTTACTTCAGAGCTTCAGGGAGTTACGGTGACATATGATTTGATCCATTGGTATACTCATACTTATTTTTCAGTTTTCATGTCTTAGAAGTTGAATATATGTTAGTAAAGGATTGCATATTCTTTTTTTTTTTCTCTTTTTTTTGCCTTTCAAATTATAGTGTCTTCTATGAAGACTGGTCTTTTATGATGGATGAAGAACGTTCTAGTATGATCCCTACGATGGCAGCTGGTAAGACTTTCTCTTAAATGCTACTGTTCTTGGAAAACAATTTCATTTTGGGATGTTATAACTGTTTCTGGTTGTGAGGAGCTTCTCTAACACTCTTCGCATGTGTGGAGAATGTGTCACCTGCACCTTCAGGGTGAATGCTCAAGGTATTATGCAAATTTATGCTATGAATTGACGAACTGTTAAAACACTGGGTCTGGCCTTCCTACAGTTCAAAAGTCTTTCACATCAATTTTCTAACTCTTCATCAGTCAAGGCTAACTGTTTTTTAAAAACTAGCGCAATTTAGAGAACACAAAATGAGTTATTCCTGACTGGAAAAAAAGCAATAATAGACTTTTATAGTAAGACCCAAATTATAGGTAAATACATAGAAGGAGAGTAAGAGTAAGGAATGATAACAGACGCTTTTCTAGAGTTTGACCACAGAAATGATGCATTATTACCTTTTACACCCCTTTTCTCAGAGACATGGTCACATGCTTCGTTCTGCAAGGTAGGGTTCACAGGAGTTTTTGTTAGTAGATTGTAGAATGGTTTGGGTTGGAAAGGACCTCAAAGATCATCTAGTTCCACTATAGGAATCATCAAATATTAAAGTTGCAGTGAAATGGGTTTAAATATAGGGTTATAAATAAATGAGTTCACAGTACTTACTGCTTATTTAATGCACAGCTGAACAGCCATCAAGATAAATTCAGAACTGATTGCATCAGCTTGAATATCATCTGAAAAGAGTGAATGGTACATGAAAGAATAGGCATTCATGCATGGAGAACTGTGGGGAAATTTTGGGGAAAAAATGTTTTATATTCATAGCTTTGTTAATCCTCAGGTTCTATGTAACTTCTGTATGAAGTATATAGTGGGTTTTGGTTTTCTTTTTCCCCTTTCTTTTACCTGAAGGCCTGAACTCCATTCTTTTTGCAATCAACATTGATAATAAGGATTTAAATGGGCAGAGCAAATGCACACCCACCATGTCTGATTTGTTAAAGGAATCGACGCAAAATGTAACCTCATTATTAAAAGAATCCACTCAGGGTGTTAGCAGCCTTCTTAGAGAGATAACTGCATCTTCTGCTGTCTCGATTCTCATAAAACCGGATCAAGACACTGACCCACTTCCTGTTCTCTCAAAGAATGTCAATGCTGGTAAGCACTTTTGCAATGTTAATGTCATTCAGAAACTTATAAAATATTCAAGTGTTTTAAAATAACTTTTTCAATTAAATTTAATGCACTGTTATGGAACAAAAACCTTAAAAATAAGCACAGTACACATACAAACTGGTTGAGTATGAAATAAATAATATGAATTTTTTTTAGAAATACTGGTGTGAATACTGGATGATAAATTTGTGTTTTGGCTTTCTGGTATCACTGTGAGAAGGAAGCTAAACTATTTTATTGGTAAAGTGCTTGCTTTGTGACCTGAATTTCAATTTCTTATCCATAAAAGTATGCCTTGCAGTTTCTGAAGTAATGATTTTTCATTTTTTTATGTATTTTCTTTTGGCACTTTATCAATCAGAAATAGACCACCATATATCTGTTGTTATAGATCAGATAAAAATCTTTGCTTGTAATCTTCTTCAAGCAGCACCCATGTTTACAGTCTGCATTCCTATATGAAGTAGGTAATTACCACAAATGAAAATTTACTTACACATTCTTTTTACCTTTAAACGTGTTAGTGTTGCAACCAGTTTGTAGTATGTTAGTTACTAACAAAGACCCAAAGTCTTAATCTCGTATAATTTTAAAGTAATCAAGGAAAAGGTGATATTTGTTATACATTTTCGGGTCCAAAAATAGCAAAGGAGTATTTTACCATCTTTATTTCCAAAAT